GAAGATCTGTTCCAGGAAGGAGTTACTATGTCAAATTCTTTAGGCAGTTAGTAGGGGAGGTCAAATGTCCATCAGAGAAAACAATCAAGGTAAAGCGAGATATTTCAGGGTGGCCAAATCTTGATCTCCCATAGTAGGTATAATTAAGGTCTCAAATCAGTTGACCTTAAGACAGGGGGATTACTCTGGGTTGGACAGTCCTAATCTGGTGAGCCCTTAGAAGGAGTGGGTTCTTCCTGAGCAGAGACACAAAGTGTGAGAAGGATTCAGTGTGAAGAGGGTTCTCCATTGTTGGCTTTGCAAATGGAGGGCCACATGGCAAAGAATGCTGGTGGCCACTAGGAGTTGGGACCAGCACCCACTCCCCCTCCACCAGGAGGCAAGGAATCCGGGACCTCAGTCTTATAACTGTAAGAAACAGAATTCTGCAACAGCTCTATATGAGTTTGAAGGGGGATCCCGCCTCAAGGCGAGAACCCAGCTTTGTGAAACCCTGAACAGAGAACCCACCCACACCATGCCTGGATTTCTTACTTAGGAACTGTAAGCAAATAAACGGGTGTTGTTTTAAGCAAGTGTTTATTTTTATGTAATTTTTATGCAATAATAGGAAACTAATAAATAGGCTCACTGTGCAACAGGTAAGCACATAGCATTTTTTCCACTGGAATGAATTTATGAACACTAGTTGCATGAAATAAAACCTTTTCTGATTTTGCGATGCAACTAAATTCTAATACAGTCAAATTATTCATTCAGTCAACAACAACTAATTTAACGCCTACTATGTACCAGCCTTCTATGCTGGGGATACAATTTTGACCTACATAGCCCAAAGCCCTTATGCTCATGTGCTTTACATTCTAGAGGCTTCCCAAGAGTGAGATGGAATCACTGGAGTGTTGTAAGTGAAGAAATGACACATCTTGACTCACTTTAGCAGGATCACTGACCCCTGTGGGGAGAAGAGTCCTTGGGTGGCAAGTGAGGGGGTGTCACTGGTGCCACAATTCAGGAGTGAGTGGGTGGTGGAAACCAAGGGGAAAAGAAGGCCTGAGGAGTGAGAGGGACAGAAAAGGGCTAGAGAAGCAGGAGTGAGGAAAGATGCAGAGGCAAAGAATCCTAAAGCAGTGGAATTCTCAAATTTAAATCCATTGTTATATAGATTTTTAATAAATATGTATCTATAGGGTTTAGCAGGATATTCTTTGCATCTAGTATTTGCTACATTCTGTGGGCCTGCCTAAAAACCAATTGCCTCTTTATGTTAATCAGGGTAAAAAAAAATAATACCAAGTGCCCCAATGAAATATGCATATCTCTTAGGTATCAATTCATAAATATAGGCCATGCATGAGCATTGGTGAAGGGCATTTTGAGTGCACTAAATACTTGTACCTTTGAGGTGATTAAAGTTTGTATACTCTTCTAGTTGAAATATACAGTAACAAATTGTGCTTTTGAAGCTGGGTACCTGAGGGTTATTGTAGATATTCAATATGAACATGATTGCCTTTCCACTTTGTTCCCACCACAGACGTAGATGAAGAGAGTAGGGATTGAAGCCAGTACCTGAGGGTTACAGTAGATCATGATTGTGTTTTGCAGTCTGCTGTTTAACCTGAAGGGTGACTCAGGGGGTCACAAGAATTTGTGAGCTTGTTTTGTAGAAGAAAGAGAATGCCTTAGGGGAGGTTGCAATCACCACATGACCAGCCCCCAGAATTGATGCCCAAAAGTCAGATCGCCCAAGGGCTTCTCTGGAGTGAAAGATTACCCTTTTGTTTCTCTGAAACTCCTCCTGCCAAGCCCCTTAGCTCCTCCATAAAACCCCCTGCTTTCTTCTCTTGTTAAGGCGGATTTGAGAGAACTCATCCTCCCACCATCTCCTTTTGGCCAATTCAAATAAGAATAAAACCTTTCTTCATTTCCAAGCACCAATGGCTCAGTGATTGGTTTACTGTGCATCGGCACACGAATTTGAGATTAAGAGGCTGGGTATTGATCCCAGCTCAACACAAGTCTCCCTTGTTTCTTTTCTACAATATGGCTTCCCTCATGTGAACCTTGTGTTGAGCCAGTATCAGTATCACTTCCATATGCTTCTTTGTATTGAGAACATATCTGGGACTCACACAGACAAACTCAAGGCTATGGAATGAAGATAATTTTAAAATACAACAACACAGTGGTCACTGATATACTGTTTGGGAAAGTTAAAATTTAGGAGCTTTGTGAGTCTGATTGCAGGGCTATTTAGACACATTTCTATAATAAGGGGCCAAAATCAGTTTCACAGATTAGATTCCTGATGTTCAGGGGTTTTCAAGATTGTGTTACCCACTGTAGTTAATGAACAAAAAGTAACCTGGTCTCCATAAGAACCTCTATCTGGTGTATTCAGGCACAACTCCTCCAGGTTTACAGCGAAAACCCCTGTCCCTGCACCTCCATTCCCAGGGGGAGCTCACTCTCTGGCATCAAGTTCCCTAGTGGTGAGTTTTCTTCTAGAAGAGTCCAGGGGGAGAGGTCGGGGATGAGAGGCAGGGAGTTCAGTTCAGCAAGAAGGATTCCGGAAAGAACAGTGCAGGAAAAGGGGCTGAGCCCAACTTGGGAGTCGCTTCCTGGTTTCCTCAGCCCCTGGGCCAGGACTCAGGGAGACGGTGTGACAAAGAGCTCTCGGTGCAGGAGGAGAGGGGTCAGGGCAGAGTCCCAAGTCCCCGGACGTGGCTCTCAGGAGTCAGGCCCGAGGGCGGTGTCTGGGGCGGGGAAGCTCAGTGTTGGGGAGTCCCCATCTCCCTGAGTTTCACTTCTCCCTATCACTACCTGTGTCAGGGCCTCCCGCCTGGAGACTCATGACGCGGCCGCAGTTCCCACTCCCATTGCGTGTCCGGTTTCTAGAGGAGCCAATCAGCGTCTCCGCGGTTTCCGGTAATAGTCTTCACGGAACCACCGGCACTCCAGATTCTCCACAGACCCGAAGATGAGGGTCACGACGCCCGATTCTCTACAGATCCGAGGATGAGGGTCATGGCGCCCGGAACCTTCCTCCTCCTGCTCTCGGGGGCCCTGACTCTGACCGAGACCTGGGCGGGTGAGTGCGAGGTCGGGAGGAAACGGCCTCTGCGGGGGTCGGAGTGAGGGGACCGCGCGGCGGGGGCGCAGAATCCCCGGGGAAGGCGCGTGTCCGCCGACACCCGCCCAGACCCCCTCCCCCACCCCCCCCCCGCCCCGCCCCGCCCCGCCTCCTCCCCTATCCTCTCCGGTCTCCTGTCCCTTCCTCTCTTCCAGTCGGGTCTCTTGCCGCCCCATTTCCGTCTCACGACTCCCTCTCCTTTTCCCCCCTCCCGGCCCCATCCACCTCGGGGCCGGGCCGGCTCTCAGCCCCTCCCCGCCCCCAGGCTCCCACTCCCTGAAGTATTTCTACACCGGCGTGTCCCGGCCCGGCCGCGGGGAGCCCCGCTTCATCGCCGTCGGCTACGTGGACGACACGCAGTTCGTGCGCTTCGACAGCGACGCCGCGAGTCCGAGGATGGAGCCGCGGGCGCCGTGGGTGGAGCAGGAGGGGCCGGAGTATTGGGAGCGGAACACGCAGATTTACAAGGTCACCGAACAGAATTTCCGAGTGGGCCTGAACAATCTGCGCGGCTACTACAACCAGAGCGAGGCCGGTGAGCGACGCGGGCCCGGGTGCAGGTCACGACCTTCCAAACCCCAGGGTCGCCCTGAGTCTCTGCGTCAGAGCGTCACCCCGAGCTCCACAAACAGGGCCCTTAATCCGGGAAGAGCCCACAGGGATTCGCTGGGATTTTGTTTTCGGGTTTAGACTGAAAAGGCTCTGGCCAATCACCGCCCAGAGGTCTCTAGCGGGGGCGGGACCAAGTGGGCGGGGTTGACCGCGGGGCGGGGCTGACTTTAGTGGCTGGGTCAGGGTCTCATACCTTGCAGTGGCTTTGTGGATGTGACATGGGGCCGGACGGGCGCCTCCTCCGCGGGTACAGTCAGTTCGCCTACGACGGCACCGATTACCTCGCCCTGAACGAGGACCTTCGCTCCTGGACCGCGGCGGACACGGCGGCTCAGATCACCCGGCGCAAGTGGGAGGAGGCCAGTGAGGCTCAGCATAACAGGGCCTACCTGGATGGGGACTGCGTGGAGTGGCTTCGCAGATACCTGGAGGACGGGATGGAGACGCTGCAGCGCGCAGGTACGAGGGACGAGGGACGGAAGGTGCCTCCTGGATCTCCCCTCAGGCTTGGGCTGACATCCCTCTACTGGGGGAGGGAAATAAGATCTAGGCCAGAATAGGCGCCTCCCATCTGCCAGGAGAGTGAGGAATCCACCTGGGTGTTCAGATTAGGTGCCAGAGAGTGACTTGCCCAGAGTGCCTATGCTTCTCTGAAGACAATTAAGGGATGCAGTGTCTTCTGGGATGGAGGGGGAAGCCATTCTTGAAACAACTGATCACTGGTTCTCTTTAACTCTGGCAGTAGCTTTGGAAACCATGGAGACTTTCTCAGGCCTTGTTCTCTGACTCACACTCTGTGTTTGAGGTCTGACTCCAGCTTTTCTGAGTCCCTCCGCCTCCACTCAGGTCAGGATCAGAAATCCCTTTTCTCCTCCTCAGTGACCTGTCTCTTACCCTAGGATGTCTCACATTGATTCTAGAAATTTCCAGAGAACAGAGATTATTCCGGATGCCTGTGTCCAGCCTGGTGCCTGGCTTTTGTGCTCCCTTCCCCCACTCCAGTTGTCCTGTCCATGCTCAGGATGGTCACATAAGCACTGCTTCAGTGGCAACAAGAGGGATGTAAAATTCCTGAATTTTCTGACCCTTCTTCTCAGACCCTCCAAAGACACATGTGACCCACCACCCCATCTCTGACCATGAGGTCACCCTGAGGTGCTGGGCCCGGGACTTCTACCCTGCGGAGATCACCCTGACCTGGCAGTGTGACGGGGAGGACCTGACCCAGGACACCGAGTTTGTGGAGACCAGGCCTGCAGGGGACAGGACCTTCCAGAAGTGGGCAGCTGTGGTGGTGCCTTCTGGAGAGGAGCAGAGATACACATGCCATGTGCAGCATGAGGGGCTGCCTGAGCCCATCACCCTGAGATGGGGTAAGGAGGGTGATACGGGCTCAGAGCCTCTTCTCAGGGAAATCCGGAGGCCTTCTGGAGAACTCAGCAGGGTCAGAGCCCTTACCTTCCCTTTCCTTCCCAGAGCCGCCTCCTGAGTCCACCATCCCCATTGTGGTCATCATTGCTGGCCTGGTTCTCTTTGTGGTCACTGGAGCTGTGGTGGCTGGAGCTGTGATCTGGAGGAAGAAGCACTCAGGTAGGGAAGGGGTGTGGTCGGAGTTTTCTTGTCGCACTAGGGGGTGTCAAGCCCAGGTAGAAGCTTGTCCTGCCTCCTTAATGGGAAGTCCCATCCAAGGCACATGTACTTTCCTAGTCTGGGGCTAACACTTACTTTTTAGTAAAGCACATGTGAAAATGGAGGACAAATTTATCACCTTGATGAGTCTGGTGATGGGTACCTGACTGCCAGCAGTCACAAGTCAGAGGGGAAGGTTGTTGGTGAGGACAGACCTGCAGGAGGGCAGTTGGTCCAGTCTCCACATATGTACTGTCCCTAGGTTTCCTGATTCTGCTTTAGGTCTGTAATCACAGTTCTGGAGACTTCTCTGGGGTCCAAGACTAGGGGGTTCCTTTAGGACCTCATGGCCCTGCCTCCTTCCTGGCTTCTCACAGGATGTTTTCTTCTCACAGGTGAAAAAGGAGGAAGCTACATTCAGGCTGCAAGTAAGTATGGGGGTGGTGATCTCTGAGACCACTGTGATAGTGTAGACAGGAGCCCATGGGGGAGCTCACCCACCTTATAGTTCCTTCTTTAGTCTTATCTCCTGTGGGCTCTGACCGAGTTGTGTTTTGTTCTACCCCAGGCAGTGACAGTGACCAGGGCTCTGATGTGTCTCTCACTGATCCCAAAGGTGAGACTCTGGAGGCCCTGAAGTGGGAGGGGTTGTGGCAGAGGGGACAGACTGGGTTATGGGGATTCTTTGGTTGGGACATTTTGAGCATGTGGTGGGCCATTTAGAATGTCACCAATTACAGTGAGGGACTTAAATTTGTTCATAATTATTTTCTTCTATAGTGTGAGACAGCTGCCTTGTGGGGGACTGAGTGATGCAGGATTTGTTCCCATTGCACCCTCCGTTGTGACTTCAGGAATCTCTGACTTCTCTTTCTGCAAAGGGCATCTGAATGTGTCTGCATTCCTAATGGCATAATGTGAGGAGGTGGGGAGACTGGTCTCCCCCACAAGCCCCTCCCCTCACTGACCTGTATTCTTCCCTGATCCACTTTCTTGTGCCAGCAGAGGTGGGGCTGGGCTGTCTCCATTCCTGTCTTTACTTCATGTTGCACTGAGTTGCAACTTCTTCCTTATTGAAAATAAACATCTGTATATGAATTTGTTTTTTCAATTTCAAGCCATGAGGTGTTGGTGGGTGAATTAAAGGAGAAGATCCTAAAATTTGAGAAAGGAAATAAAGGGAAGCACTGAGAACTTCCAGAACCCATATATTTGCTCTCCTGAGTCTGTTGCAGGTGGGGACAGGAGAAGGCTGTGAGGAGCCGAGCATGGACGTGGCTTGTGTCCAGTCAGTGCTCAGTGCATCGTGGGCTTTGATGTGGTCACTCCTTGGCTGGGTAATCTCTCTGCTCCTTTGTCCTTGTCCCTTAGGTAGAACTTTGTCCCACCAAGACCTGTGATCACGGTGACAGGGACATCACCTGGGCCTTGTCACCAGGACTGCAGGCAGTGAGGGCTTCATGTGGCCAGGTCAGCTGAGGCACAGGCCTGGGTCTGGCCCTCAGCTCCTCTGTTGGATTTCTATTTGTTTTTTCTTTGTTTCTGTAGAGGTTGGGCCTGTTCTTGTTCTTGTTTGTGAGTTCTAATCTCATTCTCTTCTAGGTGTCCCCCATCTCTCACAGCAGCAGGAGTTTGGCCTGTCATTGTCCCCACAAGGCCAGGTAGCCCCTGCACACAGGCATCTGTGTGGTGTCCAGAGATGAATTTTCAGACTCGTCCAGCTCTGTCTTCTTCTAGGGCTTGATTGTCATTTCCACCTTTTCCCAACCTTCTCAAAGGAGCCAGATTCTGGAATTAGAGAGGAAGGATCCCATAGTTTCTCATGCTAGAGAAGTTCCTGTTGGGATTCTTCTGCTCTCTAGCCTGCCCTCTGTCCTGTCCCTTAGCTCTAGTCATCCTAGTGCTGGCTCCAATCTGAACTCTATTGTATAAAGCAGAGTAGATTTATATTTGGTTAGAAAATAGGACCCATAGTCAAAGATCATTGTTTTCCGACGAGAGAAATGTATTGTGTGTTGTGGTGTGCAGGAGGGTTGGTATGGGAGGGAGAGCAGCACTTGTGAGAAAAGTACAGGCGGCATTGATGTCAGTGTGAGAGGATGTCGTGCTGTAGCTGCCACAAAACAGCGTGTGGCCTGAGGTTACATTAATAAAGATACTGTCTGTAGATTAGGGAGGTGCTCTACACTGATCATTCATTCAACTGATATTGGTTGTGTGCCAGATGTGTGACATACTATCTTTGCAACTAAGAAACAGATGAAAAATTGAAGTGAAAACAGAAGTTGCTGGCCTTGTGGAGCATATGCTGTAGTGGGAAGAGACAGACTATACACTATAAACATAGTAAATAAGGAAAGTGTTTATGTTAGCAAGTAGCAATTGCTATGGAAAAAACGCAGTGGGGAAGGCAATCCAGAGGGTGGGGGTGGGGACAGGGAAGATGGCTCTTTTAATTTGGAAGGTAAGTGTGGGCCTCACTGGGAAGGTGACTTTTGAGGAAAGATGTGAAGGACATGAGGAATTCTCCACGAGGATGTCTGGGGGAAGTTCTTCCCAGGCAGGGGAACCTCCAGGGCAAATGTGCTAGGGCAGGAGTGTGTCTATGTGTTTGGGGAAGAGCGAGGAGGCCAGTAAGGCTGGAGCAGAGAGCAATTGAGATGAGATAGAGGTGCATCCAGACCATGTAGGCCTGGAGGATGTTAGAAGGGCTTTGGCCTTTGCTCTGAGTGAGATGGGGAGTTACAAGACAGTTTAGGGCAGGAGAGCGACAAGGTATGACTTCTTTAAAAGGATCACTTTGGCTGCTGTGCTGAGAGCAGAATTGGGAGGCAAAGGGAAGGCACAAGGGAAGCAGCAGGAGACTAGTGCGGTGTTCCAGGCTGGAGGTGTCCATGGCTTCCACTGGTGTGAGTGGTAGAAATAGTGGGAAGTGATTGGATGCTGGATACATTCTGAGGATGGACTTCACAGCATTTCCTAATGGATTAATCTGGGGAATGAGAAGAGTTAAGGAGGAGACCCAGAAATTTGGACTGTGGAAGTAGAAAGATGTAGTTGCTGTCAGCAGAGGTAGGGAAGACTCTGGAAGAAGCATATTTATAGGAATTTGGTTTAAGAGATGTTGAATCTGAGATGTCTATTAGAAATGCAAGTGAGATAGTTGGATTGGCAGTTGGAAAGATGAGTCCGGAGTTTAGGAGAAATATCTGGGTTGGAGAAATAGATTTGGGAGGTGACACCATATAAATGATATTTAAAGCCTTGAGAACCAATGAAGTTACCAAGGGAGTGATCACTATAGGAGAGAAAGGAACAAGGACTGAACCCTGGCCTCCTCAGTGCTAAGGGCTCTGATCAGACCACGCACCCAGGGTAGACTGCACAGTTCTGACACCACATCTAGAAGGCACAGAGGTCAGGGAGTCCCAGACTTTCCTGTGCACAGGAATCCCCTGGACATGTGGTTAAGATTGAGCAAGTCTGGAGTAGAGTGTGAGATTCTGTATTTATAACAAGGTGCTGATGCTCCTGGTCTTCAGATCACACATTCAGTGGCAAGAACGCAGACCAGGATTCCTTCATGGCTGTGAATCAGTCTCACCTGTAGGGTTTGTGAAATAAGTGATCCCTTGGTCTTTTGCCTAATACTCTGAGATGCTGGGTCTGGGAAGAGGCCCGAGCATTTTGTAAGAAGCCCCACAAGCAGTCCTGGTGCTCAGCCAGATTGGGAACTACTGAGGTCAGTGATCAGAGAGTGCCCAGGGTGGGGAGGGGGTCCTAAATCCATATTAATTTTTTTTCCCTAGGAAAGAAAAGGGAGGACCTGTATTATCAATTATGAGAAGTGATGTCAGGAAATACATGTTGTTTCCTCTACCACAGTGTATAGTCAGGTGGAAGATTTAGGAAGTGGTTCACAGTTCAGCATAACGAAAAACTCTGAATCCTTGCTCTCTGAAATTATTCCCCAGATAGATTTTTCACTCACTTCTTGGAGCAAACAATGGAATCCAAAATTTTTCTAGTTTAGACATAAAGTTATACATATACACATACATACATATATATATATATATATGTATACACACACACACACACACATATATATATATAAATAATACTGGGGGCTTATATTATTTTGGAGAGGACCACAGAACAGGTTTGAGTCTATACAGTCAGGAACAAAATCAACAATTCACTCTCAGTTGGGTCCCACATAGGAACCACTGCCCTTGCTGCTAGGTACAGATGTCACTGCTCACACCACTGACACCCTTCATGATGGACCCTGAACCCTGGGGCTGGGACTGCTGTCACTACTGCTCCTGGCAACTGGATGTTGTTGCTGCCACTCATGCCACCCTTGCCAAATGCATTCTGTACAGTTGCAGCATCTCTGTGTCACCATGTCCTGAGTCAGAGTCTGATGTGGTCATCTGACTGGTGGAGCTTAAGCCTCATGCTGTGTCCATCTGCAAGAATGTTTGGGAAAGTGGATTTTCCTCTCTCATGGAGGGAGGTGGTCTCTGCCTCCCACCAAGATTCATTAAGTGTGGAATTCTCCTAATGCAGGTGCTAGGGGGCAAGGGACGGAAAAAGAATGACAGATTTCAATTTTTAGAGCAATGATCTGAGACTGGAACTCCATCTGGTCCTTTGTAGGCACTCAGGTTTAGGTGGAAGAACAGGTGACTAATAAATGACATTCAAGGTCATCTAAGGTTTACTTACTCTTACTCTGAATTTCTTTGTGGGATGGTGAGGAATTTTTTTCCTCCACCCAACCAATAATCTGATTCTCAGACACCAAGTGGGTGTCGTACTATTCAACTCAATTCTGACACTACCTACCTGGAATTAGCATTAGACCCACAGGTTAAGGGCTCAGTCCCACAAGACTGCCCTCACTTCAGACACAAGTCTCAAGTATCAGTTCCCCATGTTGCCTGCACATCTGTCCGACTTAGCTACAAAGTTAGGGGTTCCCCCCTCAAGTTTGATAATTTGCTAGACAACTCATAGAACTCAGGAAAATGCTATGCTTACTATTACAGTTTATTATCAAGGATACAAGTGAGCAGCCAGATGAAGAGGTATGTAGGGTGAGGTCTGGAAGTGTCCTGAGCACAGGAGCCTCTGACAGCATGGACTTCGAGTGTGCCTCCCTTCCGGCATGTGGATTTGTTCACCAATTCAGATTCTGTCATGTCAGAGTTTTTTATGAAAGTTTCATTACATAGGCTTGATTGATTATATCATTGGCCATGGGTGATTGAACTCAGCGTCCAGCCCCTCCCCCCAGGATTTGAGGAGTGAGGCTGAAAGTTCCAAACCTCTAATCACAGCTTAGTCTTTCAGTGACCAGCCCCGACCTGAAACTATCTAGGACCCCTCAGCCAGAAGTCATCTCATTAGCATCCCAAAGATACTCTTACAACTCAGCAGATTCCAAAGGTTTGAGAAGCTCTGAGCCAGGAACCAGGGATAAAGACCAAATATTTTTATTATACCACAGGCCACCCTCTGGTCTTTGACTACAGATCCCTTATAGTAAAAGGACCATAACAATTAAAAGATGCTGGCACATTACTAGAGTCCCATTCAGTCACTAACAATTAGTCCAGTTCATCATCCTACTGAGGATATTTTCATGGCCAATAAATTTATGAAAAATTGCTCAACAGTTTTGTTCAGAAGGGAAATTCAAATTAAACCATGATGTGGTATCACTGCACACCTTCCAGAATGGCTAAAATGAAAGAGTCAGACAAAATCAATTGTTGGCAAGAATTTAGATTAATCATAGCTCTCATATATTGCTAGTGGGGGAGTAAATTGATTAAAATACTTAGAAAAATTCTTTGGCGGTACCTACTAAAGCCAAACATTCGCTCACCATATGATCCAGCATTTCCACTCCTAGTTATATACCCAATAGACATGATACATATGTGTGCCAAATACATGAAAAAATTATTTACAGCAGCATGATTTGTAAAATCTGGATATAATAAATGCCCATGAACAGTAGAGGACAAGAAGTGTGGTCTATTCCTATAATTGAACACCTTATAACTATGAAAGTGAATAAGCTACACCCACACACAGCAACAGGGATGTGACCTGGTGACATAATGTTGAGTGAGAAAGCCAGATACAGAGGGGTATCCACTGTATAATTCCATTCTATCAAAAACTGACAGAACTCATCTATGGTGTTAAAAATCAAGATAACGGTTACTTTGTTGAGGGGTTGGTTTATGAATGAATAGGATTCAAGAGGGTTTCCCAGGATGCTGGAAATGTTGTTCCTTGATGTGGGTGTTGCTTATCCCAATGTTCTTTTTGTGAAAATCCTCTGTACACTTATGATTTGTCCACCTCTCTCTATGAGTGTTGTCCTTCGTGAAAGTACACTTTTCTGGATTTTTTGAAACAATTCTTTCTAAGCTAACGTAGAATTCTTTTCACTGAAAGCCCTTAGAAATGCTGAATTGAAAAAAAATCACTGCAATTTTTTAAAAATCCAAGGAAATACATGCCTGTCATTCAGATATAAAGATGAGAATCTAAAGCAAGACCAGTAAGTCTGGGAGCTGACACATGAACAGCTTTGGGAATGGCTGTCCAGCCAGGAACTAGGAATCAAAACCCAAACAAGCCCCTGGGAGGTGGAGGGTGTGAAAGATGCCCCTAAGTAATGCATGAATGACTCATGGGCAGAGGCTAATGGGTTGGCTCGCTGGTTAGGAACTTGCACAAAATAAAGTTGGAAAATTGAGAGGTGGAGGAGAGATGTGTTCATAGACCTCTTGCCATGTGCAGAGGAAGGTGAAGATACTGGTACGCATGTGGTACAGCAGAGGGTATCCATGTTGTGGTGGCTGCTTGTAATTGAGTGGAGGAGATGACTTGATGGAGGCTGTCACTCAGCCTCTCCCCAGCACCACAGGGCTTGCTCATGGAGTCCTGTGCAAAGTGGCCATAATGATTTGGATGGAGAGTGCATGGGTACAACAATGTGCCTTTCCACTTACCAAGGCTGATCTGGCATCTGCCACTGCTGACTGCCCAGCCTGCTGATAGCAGCTGTTTCTTTGAAAAGAGAAATAAAATAAACAAAATTAATTAAGCACAAAACAGAGTTGTCTCAGGTAAATATGTCACTGCAGACACAGAAGAGAGTTAAAGAACCTTAAAACTATGAAGAAATTTACGGCAAGTGAAAAGACTTATTGCAAGTAAAGAAGTTAAAGCAGTTGTAAAAATTCTGTTTCCCTTCAACCATATCCAGAATGTTTTACAGGTAAGTTCTACCAAACCTTCAAACAAGGTTCCTGATCTTATATAAACTATTCAAGAGAATGGAGAAATAATGGGAAAACCAAACAACTCATTTTATTAGACATGAATAACATTGATCCTAAAACCAGTTAGGGAACAGTAAGAAAAAAAATATTACAGGAAAATCACCCTTAACAAATCAGATGTGAAAAGCTTGAGAAAAATAGTAGACAATATCCACCAATGTACTATAAAGCAATTAAATATCTTGACCAAGTTAGGTATCCCAAGAATGCAAGGATATTTAAACTTTAAATTTTTTAATGCAATTCACCACTTAATTAAAGAATAAGAAAAGACAAGCATGGTCATATCTTAGTAGACGTAGAAAGTACTACAGATGAAATTTAACACTCCATCTGACTCAAAATTCTTCTTCAGTGTCTGCCACTTTTAAGAACCCACGTGATTAGATTAACCCCTCCCCCCAAATCAGGATAATCTCTTCACTCCAAGGTCCACGCCTTTACACATCCACAAAATCCTTTTGCTGTACACGGTAACACATTCACAGGTTCTGGAGATTAGGGCTTGGATGTGTTTGTGGGACCATTATTCTACCTACCACATCATATATGGTGATTGAATGAAGAGGTTTAATATTAGTCTAGTTAAAGTCCCAGAAGATTGCCGACACAAATGATCCGTAACCAATCTATAAATCAAAATTGGAGTGAGTTTATTATGAGCCAACCCTGAGGACCATATAGCCCAGGAGAGTCCTTTCATAAAAGAATGGAGTGCTCCAAAGAAGTGGGAGTGTACATAGTGGTTATATACAGTCAAAGAGCATGTATCACGTATGATTGGAATGTCCCTTTTACAATAGTCATGAGATTGCTTTGCCGGCACAGCAATTCTGTGAACACAGCAGGCTGATAGTCGCAAGGTGGGTGGTCATAAGGTGAGCACAGTAGGTCAGCAATCAATCCTTAGTTTAGAGAAAGATGCTTATCCTTAAGGAAATGTCGATGTGGGGGAAGTTACATCCTTATCTTTGAGGGCATTGTTCTTGTCTTTGGGACATAGTAAATATTTGAAACAGATATACAAAACAACAAAAAACAAACACATAGAGACAGAGATTGATTGGTGGTTACCAGAGGGAGAGGGAGGAGGGAGGAGGGCGAAAGGGATGATTAGGCACATGTGTGTAACGATGTATTGTAATTAGTCTTTGGGTGGTGAATATGATGTAATCTATGCAGAAATAGAAGTATAATGATGTAGACCTGAAATTTATATAATGTTATAAACCAATGTTACTGCGATAAATAAATAAATAAATAAATAAATCAGATATACAATGCATGCTCAACAGCCATGTCAAGCCCTTTTGGAAAAAAGTTCAGGGTGAATTAGTTTTACACCATGGCTTCCTCATATACTCCAATATATCCTATTGCTTGTCATTTATTTATCAAGATGAAAAGGGAATAAACGGAGGGAGGAATTGTGTAAAGAGATTATGGCTAAGGATTAAGCAAAGGTATACAGAGTAATATGAATAAAAAGTGACCCATGTGGATTCATGTTTCACAGGAACATCAGATGATAAAGATAAATGATGATCTCAAAAGAAAAAACAGATTATCTCAAAAGGAACTACTACAGTTAGAATGAAGCCAACTTCTCCCTGTCAGGAATGGCAGCCAGAAGACAATGAAATAATGTTGCCAAAGGCTGAGGGAAAACCAATGTCACACCAGGAATTTGGGACTGGAAAATCTTTCATGTATAAGAT